CCCAATGAGTAGTGTATAGTGTAGTTTATAGTAGTGTAGTGTATAGTGTAGTGTAAAGTAGTGTAGTGCCTCCATAGAGCCCAATGTGTTCACTTACCGACCATTCCTCTGTTAACGACGGGTTGTTGTAGGTACAGTAAATATTAATGCATTGATTAACCGTGTTTCATTGAATGTGTTTAGGTATTACAATCCATTGTAAAGTACTTTTTTGGGGTGAAATAGGGGTAACTTTCCATGCTATCGGAACGAGAGTGTATTTCCTGTACTCGCTTAACGCCCAAATCGCTGAATGACCGGTTTCGTGTGAACAAATCACCGTCTTTAAGAGAGGTTCTGCTGTGCTTGCAACATCGAATGCCGTTTCGATAATCTGACCACATCCTCTAATCCAGTGCTTCTTACGTGGACCCCAGGAGGTACGCGAGGTGATGTATACAAACCTGTGAAATGATATCGCACGCGAGAGTCATCGGCGAATAACCCAACGTGCGAATTTGGTCATAGAAAAATAACTCCGATTTTTTATTTTTTTTACTTTGATCCACATGGTCACCGAGAACGATAGAAGAGACATAAACATCAGCGATCGACATCGGTGCGGGTTTCCAAGGGGGTGGCCAGCGAGCGTGAACACACATTGCGTCCGCTCAATTCCTCTCCTTGAATGCGCTCGCAGTTGCTCGGCCAAGTTAGGGGGGATAGAAACCTCGCAAAATTGACAATCGGCTAAAATGTCGCGACGGTGTTTATCGTTCGTGTATTTATCAGAGCCATGTTGGGTCAGGCAAGGGGAGGGGTTAGAGCAGTGACCAACACAAGGTTGAAAATAACCACCGGGTCTTGGCCACGTGCTTTTCTTCCTGTCTCCCGCGTGTAAATTCCAGCCATGCAATTCAGTCTTTCATGTGGTCCAGCCTCACCATTTAGTATTAGGGGCCGTCCATAAATGACGTCACGCACCTGGGGGGGGGGTCAGACATTTGTGACGATGTGTGACGAGGGGGTGGGGGGTTTGAGAAATGTGACGTCACATAAATGTGCAACTTTAAATAAATATAGACAACACGTTCTACTTAATTAAATAGACTTTTTAATATATGTTTTCTCCTCCAACATCAGAGTGCAGCGCCACATTAAGTACGCACTACAATGACAATAGTTTAAAGCGATTTGAAGCATGTTTTATTTGGGGGGGGTGGGGGCAGAGCTTTGTGACGTCATTTGAGGGGGGGGGTCTGATTTTTGTGACGCCGTGTGACAAAGGGAGGGGGGCGGGTCAAAAATCGTCCAAAATCGCGTGACGTCATTTATGGACGGGCCCTTATTCATTTCTGTCGACCTCGGGATGGGGATGATGGTAATAATGGCGATGGTGGTTATCGGCAGATTTGAAGGCTGACACTTTGTACAATTTATTTGACTGGTAATTAAAATAAAACCGAGGAGGGGAAACGTTTACGAGTGTTCTTTTTGTTTTGTTAACTGGCTTCATTAACGTTTTACTTCGTGCCAATCTTGATTTGAAGCTTTCGTGAGTTTTACTTTGTGTTATTTAAAAAAAAGAAACTTTTTTTTGTACGCGTGATATCACCCACCGCCATCCGTCGCCAGCGGTGAGGGGGTGTGAGGGTGAGTGAGGAGGTGAGTGGCTGGCTGAGGTGCCATCTGTTGAGGAAGTACTGAAGGCGATCCACAGACTGTAACAACTACAGGGGCATCTCACCTATCAGTGTGCCGGGAAAGGTCCTGGCAAGGATTATTCAACATCGCCTTGCTCAACACGCTGAGGGGAGGCTTGCGGAGCCCCAATGCGGTTTCAGGAAAGGGCGGTCCTGCACAGATGCCATATTTTCTGTCCGTCTGCTACAGCAGAGGTGTAGGGAATTCCAACAAGACCTACATCTCTGCTTTATTGACCTGGTCAAGGCCTATGATACCATCAGTAGGCCTGGGCTCTGGGTTGTTCTTCGTGCTTTCGGAGTCCCTGACCCTCTGCTCACGCTCATTAAGGACCTTCATGATGGTGAGCGGGCCCGGGTAAAACTACATTCCCTGTACACCTTGAGGTGCGACAGGGATGTCCTCTGGCTCCCACATTATTTAACATCTATTTTGACCACGTAGTTCGTGAAGCCTTCAATAGCTGTACCGGAGGAATTTCCATTTGGTACAGATATAATGGGAGGCTGATCGATGCCCGGGTGCGATCAAGGGATGGCTCCCTATTGCTCAACCACGTTATGTATGCCAATGATCTGGTAATCGCTGCTCACTCAGAGGAGGAGTTGGAGACGCTGCTGCTGAAACGAGCGTGCCACTAAGAGGTGGGGCCTTACCATCAGCCCCACCAAAACTAAGCACCTGCCTGGGTATTTTGTACCATCGGACACTCCACCCCCCACAACTCCCAATCTGTGATGGGGCAGTAGTGGAGAGAGTGGAGAGTTTCCCATACCTGGGCAGTGTGCTCATGACCAGCTCCGGTTTAACAGCAGAGGTCTCACTCCCAATCAGTCGAGCGGCAATATCTTTTCATCGGTTGCGTAATGCTGTGTGGAAGCTACCTGGTTTGTCGCTCTGCACGAAGCTTCAGGTCTTCTCGGCCACGGTCATTTCCTCCATTCTCTACGCTTTCGAAACGTGGACCCCCCTAATGGAGCATCTTCGCCGGTTAGAAACATTTAGGTTGGCCTGCTTACGATCAATCCTGGGTTTAACCAGGCTGGATTGTGTGAGAAGCTCACAAATCCTCGAAAGATCTGGACAAAGTCCCATCGGTGAGCTCCTCCAACAGGCAAGGCTGCGTTGGCTGGGCCATGTAGCCCGCATGCCCAGCCACCGCATGCCTAAACAGCTTTTGTTCGGCCGGATCGAGGTGGCTAAACGGGCGCGGCACGGGCTAGAAAAGAGATGGAGTAACGTGGTACAGGAGGATGTGGAGCTGAGTGGACTTGCCGATGACTGGTACCAGCGGTGTCAAGATCGGCCTCTGTGGAGGAGGCTTGTGAAGGATGCTACTGGGCAGTTGGAGGCAGTCGCCCTCCAACAACAACGGAGGGCGGAGGAGCGACGCTCACAACAACGAGCGGAGCGCCGGGTGGCTAAAGCACATCAAGTTGGCACAGTAGGGGGCACACAGGTGGTGCATCAGCCAGTCGTCTCAGTCATCTCAGTCAGTCGACCCGTGGCACCTGCTGGGTCTGCCCCGTGACCTGCTAGCGGGCGTTCGACACTTCACGTGGCCTCAAGGTGCACATGGCCTGGTACAAGCATCGTGGTGACGTCACCGCCACGTAGTGGCGAATGGCGGTTGTTGTGTGGAGGATAGAATCAGGTGTGTGGAGGGGTGAGGAGCGGTGTGGAGGTGTGCGCTGGAGTCAGGGGGATGTGAGGTGTGTGATGGAATCAGAAGATGTGTGGATGTGTGTGGAGGTGCATGGAGGTGTGTGGAGAAGCGGGAGATGTTTACGCCCATCCCTCACGAGAAGCGGGAGATGTTCATGCGCTCCTCGTGAAGAGCGGGAGATGTTCACGCGCTCCTGCTGCTCCTCGTGCTCCACGTCCTCGCGTCCGCGGGGGTCCCTGGCAGCACCACCGCCACCACAACACCAAAAACAACAATGGTAAACAACAACAATGACAACAACACTCGGGGTGGGGGGGGGAAAGAATAAACAACGAAACTCATCACAACCACCACAATGACAACGTAGCCATTACCAGGTATGTGTCACAGGTGAGTGAGCATACAGGTGAGTGTGCAGATGAGCTTGCAGACGAGTGGATGTGTGTGAGCGTGCAGGTGAGTACGAGTGAGTGTAGGTGAGTGTACATGTGTGTGAGCGTGCAGGTGAGTACGAGTGTAGGTGAGTGTACATGTGAGTGAGCTACAGGTGAGTGTACGAGTGTACATGTGAGTGAGTGTCCATGTGAGTGAGCGTGCAGGTGAGTGTACATGTGAGTGTGGAAGCAAGTGTACAGATGAGCGTGCAAGTGAGAGTACAGATGAGCGTGCAGGTGAGTGTACAGGTGAGCGTGCGGACGAGCGTGCAGGCGAGTGTACAGGTGAATGTACAGGTGAATGCACAGGTGAGTGTACAGGTGAGTGTGCAGGTGAGCGTGCAGGTGAGCGTGCAAGTGAGAGTACAGGTGAGTGTACAGGTGAGTGTACAGGTGAGTGTGCAGGCGAGTGTGCAGGCGAGTGTACAGGCGAGTGTACAGGCGAGTGTACAGGCGAGTGTACAGGTGAGCGTGCGGGCGAGCACCTGGAACGCGTCGTTGGCGCACCTGCGGCACAGGTTGTGCTGGCAGGGCAGGATGACCACGGGCTTGGAGGACTTCTCCAGGCAGAGGGGGCAGAGCAGCTGGCGCGCTGCAGCAGCCACCCACAGGCGGACAGCCTCGTCGCTGCAGCTGTCACGTGCCCGGCGTTTATTGTGAAAATTCGGTCACAGTTCCTATGATCACCGTTTCATTGCTTTAATGGCTTTATTTTGGTGATTTTCGAAACGTTTTTTTGGTTTGGCCATGTTTGTTGTAATACAGAGTTAGACTGATGGCCTTAATCTAAGTTGTCTTGTGGTTGTTGTTGTTGTTTGACTTGCATCCCACTGGGATTTTTGCACACAGCGTTGGTGTACGGTGTTTTTTGTGTAATATTTTGCTGTCTTTTCTTGGATTTTCTGTTTGCACATAGTCACATATTCACTTGAAGATGTTTTATTTGTTCATGTTTTAGTTTTTTGTTTGTTGCGGTTGCACCCGATTCAAGAGCCGAATGGCTCACAGGGCTAGATACCTAATACATGAATTCTAGATTTGAAGCTTTCGTGACTGCAAGGATTCATACTCTTAGTTCTTTCGGTAAAGTCACGTAGGTAAAAAATGAAATTTATAAAAAATAAAACAATAAAAATCACGACGTTGCCTCCGAAACGTCGTGATTTTTATTGTTTTATTTTTATTAATTTCATTTTTTACCTACGTGACTTTACCGAAAGAACTAAGAGTACTAATACATGAACTTGAACTCCCTCTCCTCCCCATGTCACGTGGAGACAGAGAGAGAGAGGGAGGGGCATTCACACCACGATGTCACGTGGCCCAGGGGAGTACAAACAAACCCCCCCCCCCCTACACCAACTACCAACATGGACTGGTCTGTCCAAGTCGCGCTCCCTGGCCCCCCTACACCAACTGCCAACATGGACTGGTCTGTCCAAGTCGCGCTCCCTCGCCCCCCTACACCAACTGCCAACATGGACTGGTCTGTCCAAGTCGCGCTCCCTCGCCCCCCCTACAACAACTGCCAACATGGACTGGTCTGTCCAAGTCGTGCTCCCTCGCCCCCCTACACCAACTGCCAACATGGACTGGTCTGTCCAAGTCGCGCTCCCTCGCCCCCCCTACACCAACTGCCAACATGGACTGGTCTGTCCAAGTCGCGCTCCCTCGCCCCCCTGTCAGACACCAACATGGACTCGTCCATCGCTGGTCCCACCTCCCCCACGGAAAACCATCGAAGTCAACGTACAGTTAGGACAGTCCACACAAGCGGCATCAACAACAACAACAGCAGCAGGTGACGTCCCCGCGGCGTTGGTGCCAGGCTAGGTGCACTCTTAGGCCACGGGGAGTGTCGAAGGCTCGCTGACAGGAGGTCACGGGACAGAACCCTGCAGGTGCCATGGGGTTGACCGACTCGAGATGGCTGCAGACGCCACCAGCTGTGCCAACTCGCCGCGTTTTAGCCGCCCGACATCTTCACTCGTTGTTGTGAGCGTCCCTCACGAGCCTCCTCCTCCACAGAGGCCGATCTTGACACCGCCGGTACCGCTCATCGGCAAGTCCACTCAGCTCCACATCCTCCAACCAGGTACCTTTGTAGACCCGCAGTGATGCCCCATGCCGTGTTGGCAGTCCACTGCTGGATGAAGGCTTCGGGTCGCCACGGTGGCTAGGAGATGTTAACTACCTCGCCCGGTGTACAGGAGGTCGTGGGTTCGACCCCCGACGCCTGCTGCAACTTTGGCCGACGGTGATGATTTTTTTGTCATCAATAATTGGAACCCTATTACAGGTAAAAGTGTTTGAACATTATATTCTTGGTTCTTTCGGTAAAGTCACGTAGAAGGGAAATAATAAAGTAATAAAAATATTAAACTATTAAATTCTCACGACGTTTCGATTGCAACACGAGCAATCATCAAAGTGACGGTTAAAAAAACTGCCACTTTTTTTTATAAAATTTTCGTTAAAAAAGTGGCGGTTAAAAAAAACCGCCACTTTTTTCTAAAATATTCCTTAAAAAAAGTTGGCGGTTAAAAAAAACCGCCACTTTTTTCTAAAATATTCCTTAAAAAAAGTTGGCGGTTAAAAAAAACCGCCACTTTTTTCTAAAATTTTCCTTTAAAAAAGTTGGCGGTTAAAAAAAACCGCCACTTTTTTCTAAACTTTTCTTTAAAAAAAAATTGGCGGTTAACAAAAACCGCCACTTTTTTCTAAAATGTTCTTTAAAAAAATTTATTTTCAAAAATCCCGCCACTTTTTTTCAAATGTTCCTGCCGCGGTTTTCACACCTGATGACGATTGCTTGCGTTGCAGTCGAAACGTCGTGAGAATTTAATAGTTTAATTTTTATTATTTCCCTTCTACGTGACTTTACCGAAAGAATCAAGGATATGAATGTTGGGGTCGTCGAGTAAACAGCCAAAGAGGGTGACGAGAAGTGGCCCAGGTGGGTAGCGCGCCACGCTACGAACCGGCTCCACCCGAGTTCAATTCCTGTCCAGGGCTAACACCGACTCCACTGGGGAGCGATGTCAGGGCTGGTTGCCCGCGACCTTCACCGACCAGCATCACGAACCCGTGGTGGGATATGGTCAAAGAACTACAATGGTCTGGATGGGAGGCCTTCATCCAGCAGTGGATTGGCCGTGGGATGTATGAAAATAAAGTGTTGCGATTTATTCTTGGTTCTTTCGATAAAGTCACATAGAAGGGACATAATACAAATAAAACTGTTAAATTCTCACGACGTTTCGATTGCAACACAAGCAATCGGGTGTGAAAACCACAGCAAGAAAATTTGAAAAAGTTGCGGGATTTTTTAAAAGAAATTTTTTGAAAAAAGTGGCGGTTTTTTTTTACCGCCACTTTTAAAAATTTTATTGCTGTGGTTTTTACACCTAATGATGATTGCTTGTGTTGCAATCGAAACGTCGTGAGAATGTTATTGTTTTATTACTTTATTATTATTTCCCTTCTACGTGACTTTACCGAAAGAACCAAGTATATGAATCCCTGCAGTCACGAAAGCTTTAAATCTAAAAAATAAACCCGTAAAAACAAAGTTTTTCACTCTAAATCCTTTATATGCGTGGCGGCTAGAGTCCTCTCGTCCTCTGGCTTGAAATGGCTGCCACCTATGGGTCAGATGATTGTCTGCCAGCATTAAGCAATTGGTAATGAAATATAATATTTTTGTCCTAAAAAGTGTAACATTTTGGAGAAATTGTTTCACGAAAATTAATTGTCACGCACAACGTGTCTGTGTGCAAAATGTCAGCTCGGTTGGATCACGGGAAGTGGGTTAAAAAACGACCGAAAGATTTGCGCGGTCGTAAGCAAGCACGCAAGCAAGCAAGTGAACTTAATATAAAGGAATTAAAAAGACCCCAACATTCGTCAATGATGACCGATTCCATTCATAAAAAGTGCGCTCTTGGCGCCGTGCGCGCTGAGTAGTGCTCAGTATTAAACACGCATTGACTGCTCTATACAGGGTGGGATAGAGATCTCTACTCAACCCTGCAGGGTGACCTCTCTCATAGTGAAGGCGTTCACACTTGAGCTGCGGTTGTCCTGTGCCAGTAGTTGCATCATTAACCGTGCGAAATCATTTTCCAACATATACTATAACAAGTATAACCAGTAAAAACAAAGTTTTTCACTATAAATCCTTTATATGCGTGGCGGCTAGAGTCCTCTCGTCCTCTGGCTTGAGATGGCTGCCACCTATGGGTCAGATGATTGCATGGCAGCATTAAGCAATTGGTGATTAAATATAATATTTTTGTCCTAAAAAGTGTAAAATTTTGAAATTTGTTTTTTCACGAACATTAATTGTCACGCACAACGAGTCTGTGTGGAAAATGTCAGCTCGATTGGATCACAGGAAGTGGGTTAAAAAACGACCGAAAGATTTGCACGGTCCTAAGCAAGCAAGCAAGTGAACTTAATATAAAGGATTTAAAAATGCAGAATTTGCCATGAAGTTACTTTTCTTGGATTTAGCAGAATTCCACAATAGCTCTCTCAATAGCTGTAGCGTTTGAGTAACGATCTTTCACATTTTTCATTGTGAAATCGAATGACTCATAAAACGATAATTAAATGAGCACTTAGTGTAGCACGATCATTGAATGTTGAACTATAAAACTCTGCAGTGTTAATTTCATGCTAAGGGTGTTGATAGGCCTCGGCAAGGTAAGGTAAAAGTTAAAAGGTAAAAACAACGAGCCTACCTTTACCCTACCTTTTACCTTACCACAATACAATCACTCTACCCTTACCTTTTACCCTTTAGCAGGTAAGGTAAAGCTAAAAAGCAACGAGCCTACCTTTTACCCTACTCCGACTGATGCTCCTGCTGTTGTGGAGTGACTCAAGCAGCCAGTTATGGCTGCAGGGTTTTGGTAGTACATGTTGTTTATGCCATTTATTGTGAAAATTCCGTCACAGTTCCTATGATCACTGTTTCATTGCTTTCATGGCTTTATTTTGGTGATTTCGAAAAGTATATTGGTTTAGCCATGTTTGTTTGTTGTAGTACAGAGTTAGACTGATGGCCTTAATCTAAGTTGTCTTGTGGTTGTTAGTTGTTTGACTTGCATCCCACTGGGATTTTTGCACACAGCGTTGGTGTACGGTGATTTTTTTCTGCAATGTTTTGTTGTCTTTTCTTGGATTTCTGTTTGCACTTAGTCACATATTCACTTTAAGATGTTTTTTGTTCATGTTTTTGTTTTTTGTTTGTTGCGATTGCACCCGATTCAAGAGCCGAATGGCTCACAGGGCTATACCTAATACATGAACTTGAACTTTACCCTTACCCTATACAAATTACCCAATTACAGGGTAAATACTGGGGTACTACGACATGAAAAATGTTTATAACGGTAAATGCTAGGTAGAGCGCTTTATTCATATAGAATACTCTTGATGATTCCAAGTTTAAACGCTTTCTTTGAACTCACTCTGTTTGTTGTTGTCGTTATTGTTGTCGTTGTCTGTCGTTGTCATCACTGTCGTATCCTCAAATCTTATTACTCAATTTTAACCCACTTCCTAATGTGGTATCGACTGCAAACTTGGTATACGTATGTCATAATGATGACAATACTATATTATATCAATAAAAAATACATATTTGTAAACGATCTTTTGTATACGTTATGTTTCGGCTTGGCTCTAATGGTCCACGCTCAACTGACGTTGGCTGTAAATCACCATGGCCCCTTATGTTATGGCAAGCCTCGGGGCCACTTCCTGGAGTTGTGGAGTTCTGCCATTACTAGTAACATTTCATAAAAGCGTGTTTTTAAAAAAAGTTTTTTTAAATGTTACTTATTAAATGGAGGCCACGGACTGCGCCATGGAGCTTCTAGCGGTAAACAAGGTACCGTATTTACCGGGTAATACTTCGCGCTATCTTTACCCTACCGGGTAATTCTTCCGAGCTACCTTTACCCTACCTTTTACCTTACCCCTTGGCATGTCGACACCTTTACCCTTTTACCCGGTAAAAAGGGTAATTTACCTTTCCTTGCCGAGGCCTAGGTGTTGACAAGAAAAGTAGCGTGTATGTGTGGGGTTGAAATTGTCAACTGGTGCCCGCACTGCATCGTGTGGCGGGTTTCTGACAGCAGCAGCATCACCACGACGCTCTCATTGCCGCTTGGTGAATATCCGCGGCGGGTTCCTTTTCGTTTTTTGTTCATTGAATGAGGACGTGACCCTCCCTGCACCTGGCCACTCACTTGTGTTGTTTGTGTGCCTTCAGGTGTCACAGCAGAGCAATTGCAGAGGGATGCTGCGATTATACTGGCGTGGGCTAAGCATCGACGGCGGCCCTCTGTCAATCCACAGCGGAGGTAAGAGCCCCCCACTCTGTGTCAGTAAATGGGGGGGGGGTATTTGATCATACTTCACCACGCTGGTCAGGATGAGTTGGTGTTAAGGTGAGGCAGCCCAAAGATCTATTCAGATGTCACTCCGCACCGACGTTAGCCGTGGCCGGGAATCTAACTTTGATGGCAGCTAACGGCCGGGCCACCGCTTCACGGGTGAACGGGTTGATTAGATGAGACGATGGCGTTGCGTTTCATATCAGTGGCTACTCCACGTGGCTGGGCGATTGAGAAACCACACCCACAGCAGTGTCCCAGTGTACCAGCACCCCCCCCCAGTGCTGGAGTCAACATTCTCTGGGCGCCGTTTTTTTTTCTTCACACGCCGCCTTGGATTTAGGCTCGGCAAGAAGTGCGTCGCCACCAAACGCGTTAAGGTCAAATGTTGTAAGCGGCAGGTTTATCTAACTTTATATTTGATGACTTCCTCGTCAAAGACGTCCTGACCAGTGTGGAGGAGTAGGCCAATTACCCTCACAGGGGCTCTCTGGAGCTCCCGCTCGTGGAGGCCCCATTTGCCGGCAGTGGCGTGAACAACCGCAGGGGCTGAACCTTGACCTTTTATCCACTTTTCATATTCAACATTTAATTAGGTCAGCAACGCGGTCTTGACCTCTTACCCACAAACATTTCTGAGAAGTACAGCAAGTGCACGTGTACACAAGTGTACTCCTGTGCTAGTTGCACGCCACTTCTGCGTTTTGAGTTCAGTTTGTTGTCGTTCCCCCACACCTCTGATTAGCACGGTTGGCTGTGTGCGGTGCTAAATAAGTTCAACATACACACACACGCATCCACACACACAAACACGTACACACCCATCAATACAAAGACAAAGATCCCCCGTATAGACAATCAGGCTGTTGGGGCAAGTGCTGTTAGCGAGCACACGCACATATATACACATACATACACAAACACATAGACACACACGTAACCATACACACACATCCACATTCATACACCCACCCACAAAGACATACATACACACACACTGCGATGGCAAAGTAAGAAATGGAAGCGAGACCAGTTTGTCACAAGTATATATTGATGTCAAGTGCAAATACAAAACGAGGTAGACAAAATCTCTGGAAAACATTAATCTCGCTTTCTCTTCCCACACTGTAAGCTGCTTTTGTACAAACGATAAAAACCCCGAGGAGACCGAAGTGTCACCGATCTACATTCACGAGTTCAGAAATTGCTGTTTCTGGAGGCATCATGGAAGATTGAAATAAAGTGCTTGGCGAAGTTCATCATCTATCCGTACATTTCACGTGTTAACGTCTTGGCTCTACGGTTAGCGTGTCCATTGAAATGTGCACGCCCCGTACGTAAAAAAAGTAACAGATATGTAGTTTAAAAAATGCCGACGTATTCACAGTTCAATAAATAAAGAAATACTTTGCAACAGCGGTGACTTTTTAAAATCCCCGACACAACGCAAAATAAAAGCCCCACATTTTAAATGAACAGAGACAAGAAGCGTACGGGAATACCTTGCACGACCTCACTGAGACCGCACTCCGGCCTCGCGTTGCGGAGGACACAACCTCTGTCTTCATTTGTAATGGGACAGTTCATTTTGCGGTCACCATCACACTAACGTTCCTGGTGCCAACTCTGTTGACGATTGGCCAGGGAATAAACAGCAACCCCAAGACATAATGGGTTGGTGCCGCCTGCATGGATCTTGGCTCCTGTTTCCCAGAATGGCTGGCGTGGTTTTAAGCGCTTTCGTGCTGGGTTTTTTAAGTCTTCATGGATTAAAATTTGATTTGAAGCTTTCGTGACTGCAGGAATTACTCCTTGGTTCTTTCGGTAAAGTCACGTAGAAAGAAAATAAATTAAATAATAGAATACGACGTTTCGATTGCAACACAAGCAATCGTCATCAGGTAAAAAACAAACCTAGTGAACTTGGAAATACAATGCAATCCAACACAGAGAGTCCGCTTACACAAGAGTCAGCACCTTATCTGGTTGATTACGTTCTTCCAAAGATTGCTAAATTTGAGAGAGACAAAACACAGACACGGGGACACACAAGCAGAGAGAGACAACACAGAGACACAGAGAGAGACACAACATATGTTTTGTGTATCTCTCTGTGTGTCTCTGTTGGATTGCATTGTATTTGTAAGTTTACTAGGTTTGTTTTCTACCTGATGACGATTGCTTGTGTTGCAATCGAAACGTCGTATTGTATTATTTAATTTTTTTTTCTTCGTGGATTGTGAGGTCGGAGTTGCTTTAAATGTTCTCCATCTCATTGGACGGGCGTGCCATGAGGCCCTGAGCTAGTGATTGCAGCTCTTTATTGTGTTGAGAATGTGGTCGTCGAGTGAGAATGTCAAGTCCAAGGTGATTCCAATGATGTTCAAGTGATTTCAGGGGCTGGTGGTGGAGCCGGCGATGAGCACATTTTGGGGGGCGGGCGACGCCATGGTGAGCCGCTGCCTGGTGCCTTCGTAAAATGCCTCTCAAAATTAGTTTGAATTTGAGAGGAAGCAAACGGTTAGACACGTGATCATGGAATTTAAGAACCGACTTCTCTTGGTGGTGGCTGCTGTGCGACCAGAGTGGCGGTGGCTGTGGTGGGACTGGTGGCGGTGGCTGCTCTTGGACTGGCTGCTGTGGGACACGCGGTGGCAGCAGCTGCTGTGGTGCTGACGGCGGCTTCTTTGAGACCGGCGGTGGTGGTGGCGGTGGCTGCTGCCGGACTGGCGGTGGTTGCTGGTGGAATGGCAGCGGCTGCGGTGAGATCGGGGTGGTGGTGGTGGCTGCTATGGGACTAGCGGCAACGGCTGTTGCGTGTCTGGCGTTGCCGGTAGCTGCTGCTGCTGTTCCTGCCATCGCACTTGCAGTTGTTCCCGTTGGGGCGGTCCGACATCTTGGGTTTCTGGAGATAAAGAAGATGATGGCGCTAAAGTCCAAACCGCTCGACATTGGGTGAATGAAAAAAAACCGGTCTAAAGTATAAACAAGAAGATCGCTGTACTTCACCATTCCCTTAATATAAAATGACGCGCTGTCAGGGTGTACATTCTCCCTGGGCATTTCCACGCACACGGGGCGACGTTTCAAATCCATCCTTTACCTTGCGCGCCGGTGAGGAGAGCTGCTGTCCAGAGACTGGGTCCGGGGTCGACCTTCGCCAAGTGGGGCCGCTTGAGGCACTGCCGGGACGTCGCCTTGACGTGCTCCAGCGGGCAGTAGCTGTCCGCTGGCGGCGCGTTCAATTCTGGGGACCTGCATGCACGCACCAACGCGTCGCAAACCGTTAACACCTGTCTTTAAAGGAGACACTGCTGCTGCTCGCACAAGACAATATCTTTCCAGTGAGCTGGTTTGGGGGACGGTTGTAAGTGCAGGTTCAAGTGGAGGGGAGAGAAGGCGACTTACGGAATGTAGAAGAGCATGTAGGCCTGCTCGTTCATCACAGCCTTGGAGTCGACATGCCGCACGATGGAGTCGTTCATGCAGCACCATTGTCCATCGCTGATCTGCGCACAGTCAAAGCAAAGCTACACTTGGTTACAATGTTTACACAACTGCACTCAACTTCCTCCGTTCATGTAATAACAACACACAATACACACTCTAGACAACAAGTTCGTGAAGAGCATCACCCCATCGTCAGAGCTGCAGAGCGTGCTACGGTTGCTATGATAGTGCTGAAGTTACGGAACGATCTGCCTGAACATATCACTGCATGGATGACCTTGGACCAATTTAATCAGAATCAGAATCTTTATTTGTACTGAAAGAATTCGATGATCTACGAAGCTCTTTTAAACAGATGTCCACTCGGGGCGGGTCAGAAAGTTACAACAACAAACAATACAACACCGAATGGAGTGCAAAGTGTAGGAATGCTAAGGAAGTCATTAAATACAAATAAATAAAGTATATACTGCAAGTAGAAATTGCATAAGTACATCAAGACGCAAGAACAGACGCAAGACTTTTATTTATTCTTCCCTATCGGACATTTGTAACATGGGCGCATTGCAGATGTGCGTTGTTATTGTTTGATGGTGACAAGTGGAATTACCTTATTGTAGCAATAATAATGACCCCTGTTGGAGTCGGCTCCCTTGTGCACCAGCACCGAGTACAGGGAGTAGATCGCGGGCTCGCCCTGAGACGTTGAGGTGAAGGGTTGCATGTCCAGGTGCTCCGGGTAGGTGATGTTCTACAGGCAGCGCACAGAGACAAACGTTAGGAGAGGAAACGGCAGCGGTGGTGGGGTGGGCAGCAGAGATGGGCACCATCTCAGTTACACGTCAAAGTGATGACTTGATGTCTCGCTCATTTGAGCGTTGAAGACGGTGCTCATCTCCTGTTCATAGCCCTGAGCAAGTGGTGGAAATTCTATAGTCACATGACGGGGGGCGAGTCTATCTGTCGGACCTATTCCAACATGGAGAGGCATTTTCTCCAGCGTTGAACTGACAAAGGGCTGTCACTAAATAATTTAATGAGAACGATGTGGAGGGGCAGAATCGTTACCCGGTTGATCTTGACGCCGTAGAGGTTGTACCGCTTGATGGAGACGGTGAGGACGTTGGGCAGGCGGTGGAGAGCCATCGTCTTCGTCGCTTCCCCCTTGCAGCAGCACCTGCACGACAACAACAACGCCAGCCATCGCACGCGGTCCCCAACTTTCAAACAACAAGTCTACTCACTTTTTGTTGTTCGTTATTTTTTTATTCATTTTTTAAGATAAAAATTGTTACTTATTTACGTTATATATTGTAAGTTATTTTTTATGTATTATTTATATTATATTTTTATTACTATCTTTTATTAGAATTTCATTTAATCTGCAGACTTTTGAAGCTACAAATGAATCCAGGGTGTCGACACACGATGCCCACTCACATTCTGCAGGTGTATTCGTCCAGCGTCTCCTTGTTAAAAAAACTCCTCAAATGCCTCCACAAGATCTGATGAGTTCTGTTGGCCGACAGAGTGAAACGCAAATGAGAACTCTAAGAAGCATTCCACGAACGTCTGCAGAATTATATTGTGACGGCAACTCCGAAAACCCGCATCTTGTATAAAATCGTACGACCGCAAAAGAAGAGATCACGCACGCTACCGGCAGTGTGTTTGGATGTTAAGTGGCTGATTCATGTATGTGCGTGTGATGTATGATGTATGTTGGCACAGCAGGGGGCACAGATGGTGCATCGGCCAGTCATTTCAGTCAAACCACCTGGGTTTGTCCCGTGACCTGCCAGGGCGTTCGACACTTTACGTGGACTTAAAGTGCACTCAGGCTGGCACAAGCATTGTGGTGACATCACTGCCACTTCGTGGCGAATGGGGGATTTTGTTCATGTATGTGATATATGTACGTGTAACTTATATCGCACCGTACGTAGCCGTATAACTGTTAAGCGATGGCTTTGTCATTGCTTACATTAATATGGAGTGCAATGTCCAGACACGTGTCATAGGTGTCGGAGTAGTTGCTGCAGTGCATGCACTCCACTGCAAAACACAAGCACAGACACATTAGGAAAGGACGTCACATGTTACTTAGTAAAACTAAATGCACGCTCCCCACTGACATAGGTAATTGGTAGTTTTCACCAACTGGTAAAAGGTTATTCTGTGTAGCACGTGCGTGAGAGTGTGCAAACGCTGCGACGCGAGCGTGTCTACACTGTGATGGTGCGCTTGCTGCTCGCGGTGAACAAGTTTCTAGAGGAGTGCGCACAACTCACCACGTGATCGAAGGTAACCCCCGAAGATCTGGTAAATGAGGGTGGTAGCCTCCGTGTATCTGTCCAGCCTGCCACGTCACAGAGAACGACACCACACGGTGGTTACAGCAACAGCAGCAGCAGTAGTAGCACCTTTACCGGATGCACACGCGTGTGTCAAAGTTACACCATTGCCCGAGCTGTTGATTCACTCTTTCCCTGCAGCACTGCAACGTGTGATCTGTAGCAACGAAACGTCGCGTCCTGCACAGGGCAGCCACCTTCACGGCACAGCCACAGAGCTGGGGGCAAGCTGGCAGCCATCACGCGGTGCTGTTGCCCGGCGCTTTTGTTGTGCTCGGCGTGTCGTCACGGCGCCACCGAACATCGAGACATCGATTCACCGATATTTATCGGCAACGTGAAATGCGCAAACAAAAGATGGCCCACGTCAGGGACAAGGTGAAAGAACCGTGGTGCCAGCAGGGCCGGTCCTCTGCATCTTCCAGATTTTCACACAAAAGTGTGAGTAGCTTATCACAAACGTTGAAGGACAATCGTGCAGAAAACCAAGAGGAAGCCGTGAGGCACCGAACTGCAGAACGACTGCCGCAAGTTGACTGGCGCGCAGTACTCACTCGCTGTGGCCATAGAGGCATGAGGCTTGCATGGCATCTACCACGTATCGCAGAAACTCGTGGGCATCTTCCTGTCTCTCAATGCGCAGGTGTTTGGCGATGCCTACAGAGAAATTGACATGGGGACAAAGTGACAGGTACAGGATCTGATGACATCCTTCAAGAGCTCCCCAACAGATATGTCAAAAGGAGTGGTGCAAAGGACTTGGAACACAGATGGAGAAAGATCGCGGGGATACCGTCTTCTCCGAGTGCAAGTGTGAACGTAGTTGTGGGACTCAGGCGTGATGTTCTTAGTGATGACGCTGGGTGTCAGCACTCGCTGCGAGTTGTTGAACGTGCTGACGACGTGACGCTCCATGACGCACATCAGGCAAAAGTCGCTCTGTTGGCCTGCGAACGAGGGCACAGGTGGCACAATCCGTCAGCGCACGCCACCTGCACTCAGCACAGCTGGGGAGTAACAACAAAGGCTCGAATCCTGGCACCAGCAACAATCGCAGTTAATGTTGCGTCTACGTACCGATTGCATCGCGAGATGCTTTACAAGCCAAAGCAACATCTGTCCGACCTATTAAACACGATCGCCACATGTGCTCGTATTTACCAAAATCTGAATATTTATACTGGAGGAATCCGATAAGCTAAGATGTTTTGTTTCAAAAATGTCCAGTAGGGCCACGGGGTCAGAACATCACAACATCAAACAATACAAAAAACGATGAGAGTACAAAGGACAAATAAAACTAAACTTTTATTTAATCTTACCAGATGAAGCCCACTGAGCTATGAGCTTCTTCAGAAGCGACCTGGACCACAAATGATAGCTCAACGAAGTGGCTTATCACGTGGGAAATGTATCGCGGCAAAATAACTGACACAATAACCTAGCCCATGGGTAAACGAGAGTGCCAGGGGGGAGGGTACTTACAGGTGCTGCAGTGCTCTTGCAGCAGCAGCTAGTTAGCGAGCGGCGGCGTGTAGGCGAGGCACTGCAGCGTGGCGTTGAGGAAGCGTGTGCTCCCCCGGTTGCGCAGGCCGGCACCCTTGCAGACGTCGCTCTCCCACCTGAGGTTCAGCCGCTCCGGCGCAAACAGCGAGAGCCGTGCCGCCGGAATGCCGTCGTCGTCGTCCTCTGCACAAAGGGTGCGATGGTGGCGGAAGCCGGCGTCATCGCAGGGCGCCGCACTGCCGATGGGGCTGGCGTGGATATTCAGTGGCCCCAGCCATCACCCGTGCTGCTACTCTTAACCACGAAGATTTTGCTCCACATTGAAGTGTCGGGCTCAAGTTCGCGAAAAATATGATTTGCCTGTCACGTTGGCTGCTGGGAGTTTTGAGCTCCCCGTGTTACTCGTGAACGGCAACAGCAGTGGCTCCAAAGCCGTCCTTGCGTTGGTGGCTGCCACCCTCACGAGAGGTCACGAGGTCGCGTGGTCGCACGCTCACCTAGGGGTGCAGGCACAGACATGCTGATGTTCTCGCGTGCTGTGGCTGGCACCAGGGAGGGTTCCGGTCGGCCATGGGGAAGGCAGCTGGGTTGCGTGCAGAGCCACTCGTCGGCCGCCACCAGCACCTCGTTGGACGAGGTGGGGGCCAAGACCGTGAGCTCGTTACCGAACGAGGTGCCCTCTGCTCCAGCTGCCACAGTCGTGGTTGGGTCCTGCCACAGCAACGCAGTCAACACATCCACAATTACTCCTCCCATCCGGACTGGGATCCCAACACACGTGGGACTGTTTTATCACCAAAATATATACAATTTTAGTCCATGAACCTATGGGGGATCTGTATAAAATGTCTCAGAAGTAAATATATATTTACAGTATATTTTTAAAGGAACCCCAAACTCACTTGGACTCGTAAAATATTACATGAAGAACGTCCATTGACTAAAGATGAACTAATTCAATTTGTTATGCATGCTCGAGAGAAGGAAGCTGTAGTTTAAAAGAGGTCCTAAATGCATTTCAGAAGATAAATCGTGCATTAATGTTAATCAAATTCATTCTTAACATTTGTTAAAATTTTACGATATAATCCTCCGTGATTTGTTCAAATAAATACAATAACCCGATGTATCCTGATTTTTCGGAAATGCTCTTACAAACGACGTCATGAAGGGCCAACTGTGGTGTGCCCTGAAGAAGGGCCATTGCCTGAAACGTCGATTTTATATATTTTACCAGATAAAGCCCACTGAGCTATGAGCTCCAGAAGCGACCTGGACCACAAATGATGGCTCAACGAAGTGGTTCATCAAGTGGGAAATGTATCGCAGCAAAATAACTGACATAATAACCGAGCCCATGGGTAAACGAGAGTGCCAGGGGGGAGGGTACTTACAGGTGCTCTTGCAGCAGCAGGTAGTTAGCGAGTGGTGGCGTGTAGGCGAGGCACTGCAGCGTGGCGTTGAGAAAGTGTGTGCGCCCCAGGTTGCGCAGGCCGGCACCCTTGCAGACGTCGCTCTCCCACCTGAGGTTCAGCCGCTCCGGCGCAAACAGCGAGAGCCGTGCCGCCGGAATGCCGTCGTCGTCGTCATCTGCACAAAGGGTGCGATGGTGGAGGAAGCCGGCGTCATCGCTGAGCGCCGCACTGCCGATGGGGCTGGCGTGGATATTCAGTGGCCCCAGCCATCACCCGTGCTGCTACTCTTAACCACGAAGATTTTGCTCCACATTGAAGTGTCAGGCTCAAGTTCTCGAAAAATATGATGTGCCTGTCACGTTGGCTGCTGGGAGTTTTGAGCTCCCCGTGTTACTCGTGAACGGCAACAGCAGTGGCTCCAAAGCGGTCCTTGCGTTGGTGGCTGCCACCCTCACGAGAGGTCACGAGGTCGCGTGGTCGCACGCTCACCTTGTGGTGCAGGCAGCACAGACACGCTGATGTTCTCGCGTGCTGTGGCTGGCACCAGGGAGGGTTCCGGCCGGCCATGGGGAAGGCAGCTGGGTTGTGTGCAGAGCCACTCGTCTGCCGCCGCCAGCACCTCGTTGGACGAGGTGGGGGCCAAGGGCCAAGACCGTGAGGTCGTTACCGGACGAGGTGCCCTCTGCTCCAGCTGCCAAAGTCAGGGTTGGGCCCTGCCACAGCAACGCAGTCAACACATCCACAAATACTCCTCCCATCCGGACTGGGATCCCAACACACGTGGAACTGTTGTATCACCAAAAGATATACAATTTTAGTCCATGAACCTATGGGCGATCTGTATAAAATGTCTCAGAAGTAAATATATATTTAAAGTATATTTTTAAAGGAACCCCAAACTCACTTTAACTCGTAAAATATGACATGAAGAACGGCCATTGACTAAAGATGAACTAATTCAATTTGTTATGCATGCTAGAGAGAAGGCAGCTGTAGTTTAAAAGAGGTTCTATATGCATTTCAGAAGATAGATCGTGAATTAATGTTAATCAAATTCATTTTTAACATTTGTTAAAATTTAACGAAATAATCCTCCGTGATTTGTTCAAATAAATACAATAACCCGATGTATCTTGATTTTTCGGCCGTGCTCTTACAAACGTCATGAAGGGCCAACTGCGATGTGCCCTGAAGAAGGGCCATTGCCTGAAACGTCGATTTTATATATTTTACCAGATGAAGCCCACTGAGCTATGAGCTTCTTTAGAAGCGACATGGACAACAAATGATGGCTCAACGAAGTGGCTCATCAAGTGGGAAATGTATCGCAGCAAATAACCGAGCCCATGGGTAAACGAGAGTGCCAGGGGGGAGGGTACGTACAGGTGCTGCAGTGCTCTTGCAGCAGCAGCTAGTTAGCGAGCGGCGGCGTGTATTCGAGGCACTGCAGCGTGGCGTTGAGGAAGCGTGTGTGCCCCAGGTTGCGCAGGCCGGCACCCTTGCAGACGTCGCTCTCCCACCTGAGGTTCAGCCGCTCCGGCGCAAACAGCGAGAGCCGTGCCGCCGGAATGCCGTCGTCCTCGTCTGCACAAAGGGTGCGATGGTGGCGGAAGCCGGGGTCATCGCAGGGCGCCGCGCTGCCGATGGGGCTGGCGTGGATATTAAGTGGCCCCAGCCATCACTCGTGCTGCTACTCTTAACCACGAAGATTTTGCTCCACATTGAAGTGTCAGGCTCAAGTTCGCGAAAAATATGATGTGCCTGTCACGTTGGCTGCTGGGAGTTTTGAGCTCCCCGTGTTACTCGTGAACGGCAACAGCAGTGGCTCCAAAGCAGTCCTTGCGTTGGTGGCTGCCACCCTCACGAGAGGTCACGAGGTCGCGTGGTCGCACGCTCACCTAGGGGTGCAGGCAGCACAGGCACGCTGATGTTCTCTGTGGCTGGCACCGGGGAGTGTTCTGGCCGGCCATGGGGAAGGCAGCTGGGTTGCGTGCAGAGCCTCTCGTCGGCCGCCACTAGCACCTCGTTGGACGAGGTGGGGGCCAAGACCGTGAGGTCTTTACGAACGAGGTGCCCTCAGCTCCAAGCTGCCAAAGTCATGGTTGGGCCTTGCCACAGCAACGCAGTTAACACATCCACAATTACTCCTCCCATCCGGACTGGGATGCCAACACACGTGGAACTGTTTTATCACCAAAAGATATACAATTTTAGTCCATGAACCTATGGGCGATCTGCTTAAAATGTCTCAGAAGTAAATATATATTTACAGTATATTTTTAAAGGAACCCCAAACTCACTTGAACTCGTAAAATATTACATGAAGATCAGCCATTGACTAAAGATGAACTAATTCAATTTGTTGTTTTGCATGCTAGAGAGAAGGCAGCTGTAGTTTAAAAGAGGTTCTATATGCATTTCAGAAGATAGATCGTGCATTAATGTTAATCAAATTCATTTTTAACATTTGTTAAAATTTAACGAAATAATCCTCTGTGATTTGTTGAAATAAATACAATAACCCGATGTATCCTGATTTTTCGGCCGTGCTCTTACAAACGTCATGAAGGGCCAACTGTGATGTGCCCTGAAGAAGGGCCATTGCCTGAAACGTCGATTTTATATATTTTACCAGATAAAGCCCACTGAGCTATGAGCTTCAGAAGCAACCTGGACCACAAATGATAGCTCAACGAAGTGGCTCATCACGCGGGAAATGTATCGCAGCAAAATAACTGACACAATAACCTAGCCCATGGGTAAACGAGAGTGCCAGGGGGGAGGGTACTTACAGGTGCTGCAGTGCTCTTGCAGCAGCATGTAGTTAGCGAGCGGCGGCGTGTAGGCGAGGCACTGCAGCGTGGCGTTGAGGAAGCGTGTGCGCCCCAGGTTGCGCAGGCCGGCACCCTTGCAGACGTCGCTCTCCCACCTAAGGTTCAGCCGCTCCGGCGCAAACAGCGAGAGCCGTGCCGCCGGAATGCCGTCGTCGTCGTCCTCTGCACAAAGGGCGCGGTGGTGGCGGAAGCCGGCGTCATCGCAGAGCGCCGCACTGCCGATGGGACTGGCGTGGATATTCAGTGGCCCCAGCCATCACCCGTGCTGCTACTCTTAACCACGAAGATTTTGCTCCACATTGAAGTGTCAGGTTCAAGTTCGCGAAAAATATGATTTGCCTGTCACGTTGGCTGTTGGGAGTTTTGAGCTCCCCGTGTTACTCGTGAACGGCAACAGCAGTGGCTCCAAAGCCGTCCTTGCGTTGGTGGCTGCCACCCTCACGAGAGGTCAAGAGGTTGCGTGGTCGCACGCTCACCTTGTGGTGCAGGCAGCACAGACGCGCTGATGTTCTCGCGTGCTGTGGCTGGCACCGGGGAGTGTTCTGGTCGGCCATGGGGAAGGCAGCTGGGTTGCGTGCAGAGCCTCTCGTCGGCCGCCGGCAGCACCTCGTACGAGGTGGGGGCCAAGACCGTGAGGTCGTTACCGAACGAGGTGCCCTCCGCTCCAGCTGCCAAAGTCATGGTTGGGCCCTGCCACAGTAACGCAGTCAACACATCCACAATTACTCCTCCCATCCGGACTGGGATCCAAACACACGTGGGACTGTTTTATCACCAAAAGAAATACAATTTTAGTCCATGAACCTATGGGCGATCTGCATAAAATGTCTCAGAAGTAAATATATATTTACAGTATATTTTTAAAGGAACCCCAAACTCACTTGAACTCGTAAAATATGACATGAAGAACGGCCATTGACTAAAGATGAACTAATTCAATTTGTTATGCATGCTAGAGAGAAGGAAGCTGTAGTTTAAAAGAGGTCCTAAATGCATTTCAGAAGATAAATCGTGCATTAATGTTAATCAAATTCATTCTTAACATTTGTTAAAATTTCACGAAATAATCCTCTGTGATTTGTTCAAATAAATACAATAACCCGATGTATCCTGATTTTTCGGCTATGCTCTTACAAACGACGTCATGAAGGGCCAACTGTGATGTGCCCCGAAGAAGGGCCATTGCCTGAAACGTCGATTTTATATATTTAATCATACAGTATATATTTATTACAAATTATTATACAGGGTGGCCAAAAAGTAAAGACAGGGTTATTTCATTTATATTAACCCTCACATAACGTTTTCATTATTTATTTTAAAAATTAACTTTATACGTATAGTCTTGATGATCTGTGCCTAGCGCCTGACACTCTGCACGCTGCAGGTAACGGTGGGTAGGCTACGTGCATTTCCATGCAAGTTTTTTTATTTGCACGAAAGGCTTGGATTAAAATTGTAACTTATTATCAGTTGTTACCAGTACAATTAATTTTCTCCCAAAATATACCAGCACCTCATGATAAGAGCCATGTCTGCCCCCTGTTTTTGTATTTTATGTTTGCGTTTTGTGCACCATTGTTTGTGACTAATAATAAATAACCTATTCAGTTCATTTGTGCGTGACAATATTTCTTTTTTGAACGTCGAATAGAAATTGAAATAAAGAAGCAGAAACCGCTTTTAATTTGAACTCTGTGCAGTTTCACTTTGATGACTTTTGCTCGCACTTACGGTGAAAACATTTGTGACAATTTGTGAACACCGACATCTCCCCTTGCGATCAATAAACGGACACTTTTTTTTTATTCACATCAAATCAGAACCCAGTAAGTTATTGTAACTGAACAGGGGCGGCCACCCGTCCATGTAGGCGAACGAGGCGGTCGCCTGGGGCGCCAAGTTAAGTGGGACGCCAAAAATTCGAGGGAAAAAAATACAAATAAATTAACGACGATGTCATTTCCATTCCCGTGCAACGTACAGAGGGTATATATTTATAATTAATTTCTCAACATTCCTGAGAATGTATTGGTTGGACAGATGGACGGACAGGCAAACCGAATACATTTTCCACTGTTTAAAAAAATACGCTTAAAAAAACATTAAACGTAAAATCGGGGCAAAATAGCGTTTTTTTAGTAAAACAAATTTCAGATAGACCGGATCTCCATATGTAACATAACTGGTAGATAAGCAAGAAAGCGTACTGTGAGGGTTACCAGCATTCGACCTCATATTACAGCTACTGGACCGGTAGTTACCCCTGTACAGTTTTAGCACTGGTAGACTGCGCACTGCGCAGACAATAGCGGCACAGCGGTAACGCCATTCCCTCCTGGCAGCAAAGCCATTGGCAGTTTGAAACAAAGCTCATGGTCGTGACTGGATAGTGCTCAGCCAATAGCAGCGGCCTAAGGGACCCAGCGATTATGATTCCGCATCTGGTAGACGTTTGTTAAGGCCCTTCCCATTGTGCAATCCATAGCCTCAGCTGAAACTTTCGCACCCCCCTAAAGCCACTGAAAGTATTACGGTTTAATAAAGTGCGCACACTTCAAACATGCCAACTTCAAACATTGTCGTTTCATTGTACAAACAATTCGAATCCTTTAAAACGTGATAACGTGTGCAATTTTAGTGTGAGTGGTTTATTCAGCAGTGCTTTAGTCAAAGGTAAGTGTTGCATAGTGGATAGTCCTATGATGAAAAAATTACACGTGTAAAATATTTTTGGGATAGCCCGCACCTCCATATACCCCGCAGGGTCTTGTTTTGTTTGTAAAAAGTGGTATACCCCGCGGGTTATATGCGGGGAAATATTTTGCTTTCTCAGGTGAAAACTTTCTAAAAATGTAAAGGAAATTGATCGTAGACGAACGAGTTCGATTGTCATTTGTATGCAAAAGGAGGCAGAAGTGATTGATCTTTTTAAAGGCCTAAATTAATTTAAAGAAATAAGTAATTTGTGCATTAATGTTAATAGATGTAATTTTTTTTACATTTGTTAAAACAAATAAAATAAAGCTCTGTTACCTGTTGAAATGAACATGACAGCTTTATGTGGCATGACTTGCGCCACCCTCTGTAGGCGGCGTTATGAAGGGCCAACTGATGTGCTCTGAAGAAGGGGCATTGACTGAAACGTCGCTTTTCTATATTTAATAATACTTTTTTAGGTAATTCACATAATTATCAAAGTCAGAATATTTATACAATCATATTTTTCTACTGGCAAATGAGGTTCAAATGATGGCTTCAATATCATTTAATTATCATCATGATGATGATTAAAATATGAAATGCTTCATACCCTCTCCGGGCAATAACACAGGAGGCGATAATTGTTTTTTTACCCTTCTATCTGGCAACAAAACTGGCACCTTATTTTTTTTACAAGGAGTCATGTTTACATAGACCACAATACCTGCAGTCATAATGCAAACAAAAAACATAACTCTGATAATGTGCACTGTCCTTGAAGTTGATTGGTCCACACCCGAGACAGCTTTCCTTAGAGCCTAGTCTCACATGGGTTGGACCAGATAACGCCAAAAGGCGCACAACTCAAAGACAATGCATCATCAGAGTATGAGAGCTCGGGGTAAGCATTTACACAATTGGAACCTCATTTTCAAGTAAAAAATATGATAATTGTTTTTTTACCCTTCTATCTGGCAACAAAAAAACAATTATATTTTTTTACTGGCAAATGAGATTCCAATGGTGTAAACACAGGAGGTGTTAAGAAGCGCAAACACCAAATCGACACCCCGACTGCAGGGCATCGAGTCTGCATTGACCACACGTCGCGCTTGTGGTCAAGCATCCAAAGCGACGTGCTCTGATGATGCACGACTTGTCCCTGACACGACAGTGGCCTCCAGCAGAGACGTCCTCCTTCATGGCCTTGACCCACCCACCAGTTGTCAGGCCTGAGAACAACGACACGAGGAGGCGATCGGCAGCACAGAGGCAATGCAAACACCAATCCGTGAATGTGCGGCTAATGCAGACTCGACGCCTTGCAATCGGTGAGTCCATTTGGTGTTTGGGCGTCTTGACACCTCCTGCGTTATTTCCGGAAAGGGTAAAACGCCTCTCTTCTGCCGACATCGCCATGTCGATACCGGCAACACAACTGGTCCCGTGGATGTGTAGCTCGTGATGTATATAGTGTATGCGGAGAGACAGATATGAAAGAGACTACGCCACTTGATCTGTTTCTATTCGATAAGCTCCGACCACTGTGAGGCAGTCGAGGCGCTCACTTGTGTGGGGTGCCACGGTGGCTAGGAGATGTTAACTTCCTCGCCTGGTCTTCTTCTTGGTTCTTTCGGTAAAGTCACGTAGAAGGGAAGTAATAAAATAATAAAAATAAAACATAATAAAATAAAATAATTCTCACGACGTTTCGGCAACAACGCAAGCAGCCGTCTTCAGGTGAAGAATGAGACTGCCAAGCTAGGAGCTTGTATATAAGCTGCGTTGGAGGTGGAAGAAAGAGCGCCTTAACAAAAGAATGTGCATATGAAGAGGAATTTAGCATATTCATGGCAAATGCGTAGGAGGTGGGCGGGGGGGGTTTCAAAGTCATATTATGCCCATGCATTATGCAGGATCAACAGCACCAAGGGGGGGTGCAGGGATTAGCAGTAACAAAGGAAAGGAATGTTAATGATATGTGGCTGCAGTTACTCAACCACGTAGAAAACTAAAGTATAAACTACATGAAAAACTAAAGTATAAACTGCATAGCACCATCAGTATACTTACTATATTCTACAATAAGCTGAGTTACTAACAGCAAGTAATACATTACAATTCTACGTCGTAAAAATTATATAATATGCTTCCATCTAAACTTTATTCTATTGCATCACACGAGCATATACCGTACTATATACTGCCAACATTAAATTATATACTGTATTGCTGTAAACCAACCTATACCTTATACATTTAATATAACACTATGTATTATTCTACCCACCCTAATGTGTGTCGAAATGGTTTATTACGTCCTTCCAATGATTGCTAAGCCAGAATCCATCTCGGTTAAAATTGTCTCTGTGTTTGTATATGTGGATTGCCTCATGAACGAATCTCTCATGATAGCCAGATGGCTTGCAGAGAACCTCTGTCTTGGAGAAGTCAATATTATGTGAGCCCACTGAGTTGTAACAGTGATCTGCCACGGCTGAGGTGTTTGTCCTACCGTGTTTCAGGTCAGCTTTATGTTCACGGATGCGGTCCGAGACATGTCGTTTGGTTTCCCCAATGTAACTGCTACCACAAAGGCAACTTAGTTTGTAGACGCCAGGGTACTGTATGTCTGGAACCACATCTTTTACAGACGGTACCAGATCACGGATTTTATGTACTGTGTTGAATCGGACCTGGATCTTGTGTTTAATCAGGATTTTGGAGATCTTTTTTGTGACCCCAGCAATGTAGGGTAAGGTGATGGTCTTGAAAGGCTCCTCAACAGGATCCTTCTTGATGGTTGGAGTGATGGCTTTGCGGATTGTGTAGTCGGAGTAACCATTAGTCTTAAGAGCTTGGCGTACGTGTTTGAGTTCACTGGCAATGTGTTCATGGTCGACCATAGACAGTGTCTACAGACACAGGACTCACGAAGTGGCTTTGCAGTCACGTCAGCTCATTTTCCCTCGAGCAAGAGACGACGGTGATTGACTGTACGGTCCACATTTTTTTTTCGATTTAAAGCTTTCGTGACTGCAGGGATCCATCTTCTTGGTTCTTTCGGTAAAGTCACGTAGAAGGGAAGTAATAAAATAATAAAAATAAAACATAATAAAATAATTCTCACGACGTTTCGGCTACACCTTCATCTGAAGACGGCTGCTTGCGTTGTAGCCGAAACGTCGTGAGAATTATTTTATTTTATTATGTTTTATTTTTATTATTTTATTACTTCCCTTCTACGTGACTTTACCGAAAGAACCAAGAAGATGTACGGTCCACAGCTTGAGTCGCACTGTGGCTGCTCTTTAATGTACCTCTCTCTCTCTCTGCGAGTCTCTTATGGGTCTCTACGAGTCTCCATGTATCACAACGTGTGTGTGGGTTTCCTCTACGGTCCACAGCTTGAGTTGCATGACCACAGTCGCACTACTGCTGCTGCTGCGTGTTGTGGCTCGTCTCTAATGTTCCATTCGTTTAAACGTGCGCATCGTTCCGTTGATGTTCTGGTGCGGTTCATGGTGACAGCGGTGTATTTGCGGAGGATTGTCCATGGCAGGAGGTGTGTGGGGGTTGAAGCTTGGGTCTCGAACGAGGCGTTCATTCCGCACGTCTGCGCTGTTCCACCCTTCGCCGGCGATCTTCCAGATCTGTGCGAGAACCACAGCCCAGATCGATCCGAGGTTCATCCACGTACTCGATAGCAGAGATTTCTCAACCCCTTTCGTTCCAACGGGACACTTTCGAGCTCGCTCGATCTTCACGGCGCACCGAACCAAAAGGTCGGTCCGACGAAATTGCCTACAACTTGTGTAGATGATGAGGGTGATGATGCTGATGTTGGTGGGAAGAATAATGATGTTGATATCGAGGAGGGTCAGGATGATGGTGGTAGTGAGCATCGTGA